CGATTTTCTATCCACCCAGGAGCGACGAAGATGTATCGAGATCTTCGACCTGATTATTGGTGGCCCTGCATGAAGCGAGATGTCGCTTGGTATGTGGAGAGATGTTTGACCTGCCGGAAGGTCAAGGCGGAGCACCAGAGACCTCACGGCAAGATGCAGCCGTTAGACATTCCCGTGTGGAAATGGGAGGATATCACCATGGATTTTGTCACCAAACTCCCCAGGACCGCACGCGGGGTGGACTCGATATGGGTAGTAGTGGATCGGTTGACGAAGAGTGCCCATTTTATTCCGATTCAGGAGAGTATATCGGCGGAAAAGTTAGCCGATATCTATGTGCGAGAGATTGTGGCACGTCATGGGGTGCCGGTATCGGTGGTGTCGGACCGAGATGTTCGTTTCACGTCCAGATTCTGGAAGCGATTCCACGACGAGATGGGTACTCGTCTCAATTTCAGCATCGCTTTTCATCCTCAGACTGACGGGCAGAGCGAGAGGACGATTCAGACTCTTGAGGACATGCTTAGGGCAAGTGTTCTAGATTTTGGGGGCAGTTGGGATACGTATCTTCCGTTAGCGGAATTCTCGTATAACAACAGTTATCATGCGAGTATTGATCGACCTCCTTTTGAGATGTTATATGGCAGGAAGTGCAGGACCCCGATTTGTTGGGGCGAGGTCGGTCAGCGAGTTATAGGGAGCACTGAAGTGGTGCTCAAGACGACGAAATTGATCCAGCAGGTCCGTAGTAGGCCGCAGACTGCGCAGAGTCGGCAGAAGAGCTACGCCGACAGGAAGCGTTCGGACTTGGAGTTCCAGGTGGGCGACATGGTTCTTCTGAAAGTCTCACCTTGGAAAGGTGTCATTAGGTTCCGGAAGAGGGGAAAATTGGGCCCCAGATTTATTGGTCCTTTCAGGGTTTTGGCCCGGGTGGGTCGGGTTGCTTATCGGTTAGATCTCCCTGAGGAGCTTAGTCAGATACACAACACCTTCCACGTGTCGCAGTTGAGGAAGTGTTTGGTGGATGAGACAGCAGTCGTTCCCTTAGAGGACATTCAGGTTGATAGCGGCCTAAATTATATCGAGAAGCCGGTCGCGATTCTGGAACGGAAGACCAAGACCTTGAGGAACAAGGTAATTCAGCTAGTAAAGGTGCAGTGGCAGCACCGGAAGGGGTCTGAATGGACGTGGGAGGCTGAAGAGGAAATGAGAGCGCACTACCCGGAGTTATTTGCAGATCCAGCCGTAGCAGACTTCGAGGACGAAGTCTGAGACAAGTGGGGGAGAATTGTAACGACCCGTTCCCGGTATGTTGATTTATTGGTAATTATAGTGAGTTTTCAAGAGGGACTCGGCGAGTTCTAGCCTGACTCGCCGAGTAGGGTCGCGCCTGAGGGCACGCGTGAGCCGGGGACTCGGCGAGTCCATATCCCTGACTCGGCGAGTCCATCTGTCTGGGTGAAACCCTAAAATCCCCGGGTTGCCCACTATTTATACCACCTTATAGCCCCCATCCTCGCCTCCCTCACCCTGAGAACACAGTGAGAGAACCCTAATCCTCCCTTGAAGAGCTTATATGTGTTTTGGTGCCATTTTGTGAAGGTGTGAAGAAGGAGAAGAAGGAAGAAGCAAGGAGAAGTGTTGTAGTGCAAAGATCCAAGGCCAAATCAGAGTTAATTGAGGTATTTTCGGAGTTCCATCTTGTTATATGCTTTAAACTTCCATTAGAGCTCTCCTAAGAGCTAGTTGATGCTTGTTCCAAGCCTTACACTTGCATGAACGTCTTATTAAGTCGAAAAAGCTATGGATCTGAATGTTGGGGTGTTGTAGAGCCCAGATCTACTGTCTTTTTGGAGTTATATTGCATGATAACCATAGATCTACCCATTTTATGCATCTTTTAGCCTTATTTCCCTTATTCATGAGGTTGTGCACGTAAAGTTGGAAACTTTACGTGGTAAATCAGCTTATTGGACTCAGATCTATCAATTGTATGCATTGGATTCAAACAAAATCGAGTAAAAATCAGTTGCATGGCGGCAACTCGGCGAGTCGGAAGAACGACTCGACGAGTTGGGTCGCGAGTCCCGAAGTCCTTCAGTTTTATCAGTGTCGAGTGGACGAGGTGACTTAGGGAGTGGACTCAGCGAGTTGAGAGTAGACTCAGTGATGGAGGGACTCGACGAGTTTGTTCATACAACTCGGCGAGTCCAAGGCAATCTTCTTGGATCAAGAACAACTCGTCGAGTCTGTTCATCCGACTCGGCGAGTCGGATGAAGATTGTCTGAGTTCTTGGATCAAGAGGGTACTCGTCGAGTCGATGCCAGACTCGACGAGTAGCAGTGAGTAAGAGTGAAAAGTGAGAGTAGGACTCGCGAGTTGGGTGGCCCAACTCGGCGAGTCAGCCCAAAAGAGAATTGACTTTGACCGAGGGTAAAAGAGTCATTTTACCCCAAGCGCAGTGTTTAGTATTTGATTGAGTGTGTTTATGGACTTGTAGCCGAGGAGATTCAGGAGCAGCCGCCGTTAGCTTTCCGAGCCACACACTCAGCAGCCAGCTTACGAGGTGAGTTTCCTTCCAGTAGGAACGGGTCTAAGGCCACAATGCCGGCCCGTTCAGTTAGCAGTAGTTTCCGGATTTAGGTCCGATGCAGTAGTTAGTATGTTCGATGCCTTCGTGGTTCGAACAGGATTTGTGTGCTATGTTTTATGTGTTAAGTATTATGTGTTCCGGGCCACGGCCCGATGTAGCATGTCGTATATGTGTTATGCTAGTTGATGTGTTATGCTATGCCATGTTCAGTCAGTCAGTTCCGGACTTCGGTCCAATGCAGTTAGTTCCGGACTTCGGTCCGATGCAGGGTACAAGGTCCCAGTCAGTTCCGGACTTCGGTCCGATGCAGTTAGTTCCGGACTTCGGTCCGATGCAGGGGACAAGGTCCCAGTCAGTTCCGGACTTCGGTCCGATGCAGTTAGTTCCGGACTTCGGTCCGATGCAGGGGACAAGGTCCCAGTCAGTTCCGGACTTCGGTCCGATGCAGTTCCGGGCTTCGGCCCGATGTAGTGGGCAAGGCCCAATATGTGTTTATGTGTTATTGTATGGTATGTGGTAGTTTGGGGGAGCTCACTAAGCTTCGTGCTTACAGTTTCAGTTTGGTTTCAGGTACTTCCGCAAGCAAAGGGAAGAGCTCGGGGTGACAGCATCGCACACACCACAACATAGCTTTTATCCTGGGGATGTCTCTTGATGTTTTGGATTGATGTAGTATGATACAGTTTTCCGCACAATATTTTATTATGTTTTGGGGATACATCGCGTATGTTTTATGTTATGATACTTATATTATGGTTTTGATTATATGGAAAAACGAAAATTTTTGGGTCGCGTTTTTGGGTCGTTTCAATAAAGTCCCTAAGTATTGCCCGTATAATCGATTTAGCCCTTATATATATTTTTTGCAATTTAGTCCTAAATACCTGTAAACGTAATCAAAACGAGATATTTAATAGGTTAGCCGGTATCTAACTGATGTGGCAGCTTACGTGGAAGTCATCATGTTAAATAACATCCTACGTGCCATTTAAGAGGGCTAAATCATTGAATCGAGCTCGTCTTCTTCAATCTCCAGTCAAAGGAGCGAACGATTAGGGCAAATTGGCAACAGGAAATCGATGTCGAGTTCGTCAAGCACCAACATCAGAACGTGCTATTGTGGAGATAGGGTTGGATGTGGACATCATGGACTCGAAAGAATCCAGGTCGGAGGTTTTTTGGTTGCCCAAATTACATGGTATAGAATCTTCAAAACTCACTCAAATTCTTCTAATCCTCTAAATTTCCCATTTTTCTATGTTAAAAACATGCATCTTGCTATGTTATGTAGGATGAAGAGAAGGACTGTGGGTATTTTCGTTGGATTGACCCACCACTATTGAATAAGTGGTATAAAGAAAGAATGTATGAGTTAGGAGCTGTTGCTAATGGGGGTGTAGCTATTCCTTTTAATAACCCTGTTAATGAAGGTGAAATACCTGTTGATGGCCCTATTGCCCCTGTGAATGTTGATGTCCCTATTGCCCCTGCGAATGCTCTTGAACCTGATAATCAAATTGCAATGTGTGACAATACACATGTGCCTAGTAATGAATTTGGATTCTGCAAGTGGATGATGGTTTGTTTTGTTTGTTTCATTGTAGGGATGATGTATGGTTAGTTTAGTGTAAGTTGTAGGGTATTATGGTATGGTAGGGATGATGTAATCTTTTGGTTTGTTATCATGATGTAATAGATAAATGTTGTTGTGGATCATGTAATGTTTCGGTTAATGAAATGGCAATATGTTATTATGGTTTGCATAAATGGTGTACACTAGACAAATATAACCATGATTTAACAATTGGTGTTGAATTTGGGACTAAAATGATCACCATTGACAACAAACCAATAAAGCTCCAAATCTGGGACACAGTTTGTCTCCTTCTTTTCTTCTATACCTTATTCTCTTGTTACATTTATTATAAAAAGAAATCTTAAAAAAAATCTTCTTTTTTCTTTATATATTTGTTAGGCTGGTCAAGAATCATTTAGATCAATAACAAGATCTTACTACAGAGGTGTTGCTGGTGCCCTTCTTGGTTTGCATAAATGGTGTACACTTGACAAATATAACCATATTAAGGGCATTCACAATGTTTCAATGTGGCTAAAATAATTAAACAACAAACTCCAATATGTCATTACCAACCATGTTAAGGGCATTCACAATGTTTCAATGTGGCTAAAATAATTAAACAACAAACTCCAATATGTCATTACCAACCATGTTAAGGGCATTCACTATGTTTCAATGTGTTTACAAAAGATGTACAAAATATGGTTATCAGTAATTTAAGGGCATTCACAAAAGATATACAAAAGTAGCATTCAAAAAGAGGCACAAAAGTAGCATTCACAAAATATGTACCAAAATACCCTTACTACCCTTAACACCCTAACAGTCTAATCCAACTCCAATGCTGAATTTGAAGAAGTCCCAACACATCCCATCTTCTTCAGCTTGGTTTTAACAATCCTCTCAGAGGGCCTTCTTTTTTTCACAATCCTAAGGTGTACTGGTAATTCATGGGTGTCATTAATGCCTTCTTCTTCTTCCTCACTTTCTGGTTGTGTCTCAGGGATAATTTCTTCAGCCCCATCTTGTGTCTCAGTCTGAGGTGGATACTCCTCTTCCTATAAAACATCAAGCAATTAATAACATAAATAAATGTAAACATTAAGGTAATATAGAGGGTTTACCATAGACATAGGAAGAACTTGTTCAATAGTGTCATTGTAATCATTGAGTTGTTTCATATGTGAATCTGTCAGACTAAGTGACTTTTTAATTTCTTCAGTTGAATACCCTGATAGTTTCAAATCTTGCATTGCCTTCCATAAATGGACTAAATATTTTTCAGGAATAGTGTCATCCTCAACTTCAGCCACTCCACCACCTTCAACTTCAGCCACTCCACCACCTTCAATTCCAACAGATGTCTTACTACCCCTACCACCTCTTTTACTACCCCTACACCTCTCTTACTACCCCTACCACCTCTGTTAGCCACTACATCACCTGTGTTACCCACTGCACCACCTTGTTACCCCCTCTACCTATACTACCCTTGCACCACCTCTACTACCTCTGACACCACCTCTTACACCACCTCTAGTCCAATGACTGATATCAGGATCCAATCTTGGTATACCCATTTTTTTCTTGGGTTTGGGTTCTGGTGTGATCTTAGGATTCTTACAGGATGCCTTGTTATGACCCCTTTGAAGACAATTTTTGCATTGGACAGTCCTTCCTTTTCCTGTAACCTTCATCTTATTTTGGGAGTATTTGTCTTGAGATTCAGTGGCATGCCCTTTTCTTTTCAGAGTTGGTCTCCCTGGCATTCTTCTAGCTAAAGGGGGTAGAGGCTTTATGTATGATGTTCTAGGCCATAAATTTCTACCATTCACAGGTAGTATAATTGTTTGCATATATGGCCTTGAACCTGTCCACATGAAACCACTCACTTTATGAAATGAACAGGATCTTGTCCAGTGAATAATATTGCACACTGTGCATGTACACATGAATTCCTGAGATTATCCCAAAGCCTACAACTGCACACTCTGCTTTCGTAAGTTAACCACGTACCCTTCTAATCCATTCTTGGCTTCAAAAATAGATGGTCCACTTGGATTCACATTCCAATTCCTACAATGGCATTACTAAATGAAATCATAACAATGAAATTAGAATAATGATAACAAGGAACAATAAAAATGCTAAGACAAACCTCAAATCCTCTCCAAACTTGTTCATTTTTTTGATAGCAGCTGGAGAAACCACTGATTCCCACTTTTCTGCCTTTTGTAACATATGGTAGAACCTATCCATCATGTACAACCTAATTTCTTCAAACATTGCTAGAAGGGGTTTCTTTCTAGCATCCAATATGATGGCGTTGAAGCACTCTGCAATGCCATTTTCAACTGCCTCACATGCTACATCAGTCCTAAAAAAATGCCCTGCACCATGTGTGAGGATCTCTTGCGATCAAATGTTCATAAGCATTTGGATTAACCTCTTTTATATCATCCATTTTCCTGAGAAATTCACTCTCTACAGTTGATAAGGAAGCTGCCCAGAACATATTCTTGAACTCCACTCCAGAATAGGTCTTCCTAAAGTTAGCATATATGTGTCTTGCACACTGTCTATGCTCCACATTTGGTAGGACTTCTTTGGTTGCTTCAAGCAATCCCTACAATTTAATG